TGAGCCGGCCCCGCCACGGCCCATTCCTCACGGGGTGTCCGGCTGGCCGCCGGCAGAGGCTGCTCGCCCCTGGGACTTCCCGTCCCGCGCGAGACGCCCGCCCAGACCACTGTGAGCTCGCATTGGGGCCGCTGCCTGACGCGCGCTGCTCCGAGGCTGGTACTGCGCATGCTCGGTACACGCTGCCGAGCCAGGGTGCAGTTCTCACTCGGTCCCTAGCTAGGACTAGTGCTAGAGATGGAGCCGTGTTAGTCTGGTCGAGCTGAAACAAATGCTAATGGAAACCTCGCCCTGAATGACATTTACACCCAGGTCAGGTGCGAGTGCTGCAATCAGGGAGAATTTGTTACTTCAGATTATGAAACGGGTGAAACATTAACTTTCCCATGTTTATTTAAAATGAGGGTTGATAAATTAAGTACAATTTAATTCTCCCTATTGGTCAGCAAGTAGCTCCTGGGCTCCTCACTCCCATGACTGTCCAGTTCATTTATCTTGCCAGAGATGTTGGCTCCTGTGACAGACCCCCACATCTGGGTACCGGAGAGGGCGTCTGCTCAGGGCGAATTGCTCAAAACCAGGGCTCCTTACAGCCCCCGACTGGCAACCTTTCCTAAATAGGCCACAAACCAGACACACGAGAATTTCAGCTGCCAATCCTGCCAGCCAGAAGAATCATGAGCAAAACCCCTTAGACACTCCAGTTCTCTGTACAACAGGCAGAACAGAGCCCATTGCTCTGAGAGAACATTCACAGTATAAGCACAGTCCATATTCATAACTCCACATAAAGATATCACAAGTACATGAATAGCATACATAGAATCAGTAGAACACATGCTTTCATTTGACACCTCACATGGCCCCCTTTGTAAGAGACTTTGGGGAAAACACCTTACCCTCCCACCCCACCCCCCGTGGGCACAGCAGTGATCTGCTACCCTTAAAATCCAATGTGACAGCTCCCAACATCTGTGCCACAGCAGAACTCTAACTTCACAGGCTACAAGATAGCCAGGGACTGTTAGAATTGACACTATGACTGACTATATAGGAATCTCTCACCTGGTGCAGAGAAGCAGCTGGCCTTTTGGTGGGTTAGGCAAGTTGTTGAGGCAGAGATCCTAAACAGGCAGGGATACTCACTGCTGACATGCAGCTACCCATCTGGTGGAGCTGTGTAATAGCAGCACTTCACCGTTGTTCAGTGGGTTTCAGGAAGAACTGTTGGTGGATGCTGACCTCAGTTCCCTGATGTGATGCTAAAGGGGTTGATATTCTATCCTTAGATTCATAGAATCATAGGACTGGAAGGGACCTCGAGAGGTCATTGAGTCCAGCCCCTCGCCCTCAAGGCAGGACCAAGCTCCGTCTACACCATCCCTGACAGATGTCTATCTAACCTGTTCTTAAATATCTCCAGAGAGGGAGATTCCACCACCTCTCTTGGCAATTTATTCCAATATTTGACCACCCTGACAGTTAGGAATTTTTTCCTAATGTCCAATCTAAACCTCCCTTGCTGCACTTTAAGCCCATTTCTCCTTGTCCTGTCCTCAGTAACCAAGAGGAACAAATTTTCTCCTACCTCCTTGACACCCTTTTAGATATTTGAAAACCGCTATCATGTCCCCCCTTAATCTTCTTTTTTCCAAACTAAACAAGCCCAGTTCATGAAGCCTGGCTTCATAGGTCATGTTCTCTAAACCTTTAATCATTCTTGTCGCTCTTCTCTGTACCCTTTCCAATTTCTTCACATCTTTCTTGAAACGTGGCGCCCAGAACTGGACACAGTACTCCAGCTGAGGTCTAACTAGTGCAGAGTAGAGCGGCAGAATGACTTCACGAGTTTTGCTTACAACACACCTGTTGATACAACCTAGAATCATATTTGCTTTGTTTGCAACAGCATCACACTGTTGACTCATATTCAACTTGTGGTCCACTATGACCCCTAGATCCCTTTCCGCCATGCTCATTCCTAGACAGTCGCTTCCCATCTTGTATGTATGGAACTGATTGTTCCTTCCTAAGTGGAGCACTTTGCATTTCTCTTTATTAAACCTCATCCTGTTTACCTCTGACCATTTCTCTAACTTGCTAAGGTCATTTTGAATTATGTCCCTATCCTCCAAAGAAGTTGCAACCCCACCCAGTTTGGTATCATCTGCAAACTTAATAAGCGTACTCTCTATCCCAATATCTACATCATTGATGAAGATATTGAACAGTACGGGTCCCAAAACAGACCCTCGCGGAACTCCACTTGTTATCCCTTTCCAGCAGGATTTAGCACCGTTAACAACAACTCTCTGACTACGGTTATCCAGCCAATTATGCACCCCCCTTATCGTGGCCCTATCTAAGTTATATTTGCCTAGTTTATCAATAAGAATATCATGCGAGACCGTATCAAATGCCTTTAAAGTCTAGGTATATGACATCCACCGCTTCTCCCTTATCCACAAGGCTCGTTATTCTATCAAAGAAAGCTATCAGATTAGTTTGGCATGACTTATTCTTCACAAACCCATGCTGGCTATTCCCTATCACTTTATTACCTTCCAAGTGTTTGCATATGATTTCCTTAATTACCCGCTCCATTATCTTCCCTGGGACAGACGTTAAACTGACCGGTCTGTAGTTTCCTGGGTTGTTCTTATTCCCCTTTTTATAGGTGGGCACAATATTTGCCCTTTTCCAATCTTCTGGAATCTCCCCTGTCTGCCATGATTTTTCAAAGATCATAGCTAAAGGCTCAGATACCTTCTCTATCAGCTCCTTGAGTATCCTGGGATGCATTTCATCAGGACCTGGTGACTTGCTGACATCTAACTTTCCTAAGTGATTTTTAACTTGTTCTTTGTGTATCCTATCTTCTAAACTTACCCTCTCTCTGCTTGTATTCACTACGTTAGGCACACCTCCAGACTTCTCGGTGAAGACCGAAACAAAGAAGTCATTGAGCATCTCTGCCATTTCCAAGTTTCCTGTTACTGCTTCTCCCTCCTCACTAAGCAGTGGGCCTACCCTGTCCTTGGTCTTCCTCTTGCTTTTAATGTATTTATAAAAGGTCTTCTTGTTTCCCTTTATGCCTGTAGCTAGTTTGATCTCATTTTGTGCCTTTGCCTTTCTAATCTTGTCCCTGCATTCCCGTGTTGGTTGCCTATATTCATCCTTTGTTATTTGTCCTAGTTTTCATTTTTTATATGACTCCTTTTTTATTTTGAGATCATGCAAGATCTCCTTGTTAAGCCAAGCTGGTCTTTTGCCATATTTTCTATCTTTCCTACGCAGCGGAATTGTTTGCTTTTGGGCCCTTAACAACGTCCCTTTGAAATACTTCCAACTCTCCTCAGTTGTTTTTCCCTTCAGTCTTGCTTCCCATGGGACCTTACCTACAAGTTCTCTGAGCTTCTCAAAATCTTAGCTGGGGAGGTGTTTAGTTAGAGCAGGCAGTGACTTCAGATCAACTGACTGACCTGGGCCTCCTTGTCCTCCCTGAAAGCTGGCCAAGCCTGCTCTATTCCTGCATCAGTCCAGGGCTTGTGCTTTGTCCCTCTGTCTATGCCTTGCACCCAGGCATGGATCAAACTATGGGTAGACCCTTGGGTCTGCTCCTTGCACATCCTTGCCTGTGTGGAGGGATCACACTTTACTATGTACTTTAGGGGGCACCCGGGGCGGATGCAAGTGGGGAGTCAGGCCCAGTTAGAGCTTTCTTAACTTCCCTTACTTCGATGGGCCTGGAAGCCAGAGCAGGTGCTCCAAGCCTCACAGCTGCATGGGCTCCCCACTGCATGATGGAGGAGGGAGGGGCTGCATTTGAGCTGTGGACCAACTGGGAGGTTGCTGTGGACCACTAGTGGTCTGTGGACTGCACTTTGAGAACCACTGTCCAAGAAAAAAAAATGTTCAAATTAGAGTCCAAAAACCTGTGAATGCAGAAAAGGCAATTTACATAAACATAATGTGTATATTCAAGGTAGCTAAGGAAGCTATTTGAGACTTATTCTTAAATGTGCAAGTATGTTAAAGAATTATGAGCTATATACAAGCACAAATCTTTTGAATTCCAATTCCTACAATGATGAAGGGCCAGATTTGATTATGAATTTTTGTAAATCTCTTGATTTTATAGATGTACTTTGTTAATATTTTGGGCATTTAAAGAAACATTGCAGCAAAAACATTATATATGTATGTATGTTTAGAAACAAAACAGAATTTAACAAAATCAAAGGTGTAAAACTTGGGCTATTCAGAAAAAAAAAATCACACTTTCCCTATGAATGAAATAAGTCTATACAGAACATTGCCAGACCCAATCATGAAAATAAATCCATAGGTAAGGCCAAAAGGAACCATTGTGATAATTTAGCCTGACCTCCTACACAACACAGGCCATAGGATATCCCTTTTTGAAATGCAGCATATCCAGTGATGGAAAATCCACCACAATCCTTGGTAAATTATTCCAATGGTTAATTGTCCCATTTAAAAAGTTAACCCCCTACTTCTATTCTGCAGTTTAGCTTATCACAAAGAACAGAGAGGTGACTTCATCATTCTGTAAGTATCAATGTGGGGAACAGAAATTTGATAGGGTTCTTCAATCAAGTAGACAAAAGTTTAATTAAGGGAAATCTATACAAATTGGCTGTGTCTAGATTGCACCCCTTTTCCATAAAAGGGATGCAGATTAGACACAGCGCAATTGCAAATGAAGCAGGGATTTAAATCTTCCCCGCTTCATTTGCATGAACATGGCTGCCGCTTTTTTCCGGCTCGGGGCTTTGCCGGCAAAAAGCGCCAGTCTAGATGGAGATCTTTCGGAAAATAAAGCTTTTTCCGAAAGATCCCTTATTCCTGATTTTAAGCTATGTTTATGCAAATGAAGCGGGGAAGATTTAAATCCCTGCTTCATTTGCAATTGCGCTGTGTCTAATCTGCATCCCTTTTATGGAAAAGGGGTGCAATCTAGACACAGCCAATTTGTATAGATTTCCCTTAATTAAACTTTTGTCTACTTGATTGAAGAACCCTATCAAATTTCTGTTCCCCACATTGATACTTACAGAATGATGAAGTCACCTCTCTGTTCTTTGTGATAAGCTAAACTGACTTAACATGAATTTGTTATAAGGCATTCTTATATAAGGAAGTTACTCACCCTGTGCAGTAACAACTGTTCTTCGAGGTGTGTCCCCCCATGGGTGCTCCACTGTTGGTGATGGGTGATCCCCGGAGCTGCAGTTTGGAGCTTTTTCCTAGTAGTTGACAGTTGGGTGCACACACGCAGGAGGTGCCTTGTGCCATTGATGGTTTGGCACCTCTCATGACAGCCTCCCCTCCAGTTCTTCGTCTACGCCTTATTTACCATGACTCCAAGTACAGGGGAGGAAGGGAGGGTCGTGGAGCACCTATGGGGAGGACACATCTTAAAGAACAGTCATTACTGTGCAGGATGAATAACTTCCTTTTCTTCTTTGGGTGATGTCCCCGTGGGTGTGCCATTGTTGGTGACTACAGAGCAGTATTCCGTGAGGATGGTGTAACTCAAGAGTTACTGCTTAGCAGTGGAAAATAGCGCTGCTGTAGCCACTGCTGTATCAGTTGTTAGTTGAGGCATAATAGCGTAATGTCTAGCAAAGGAATGGTCGGATGACCATGTGGCCGCCTGGTATATGTCTTTGAAAGGCACACTATTCAGGAAGGCGCTGGATGTTGCAGTGGCATGAGTGTAATGTGCTCTAGGTTGAGCTGGTAACTGTTTATTCCAAAGAGAGTAGCAATGTAGTATTCAGGCTACTATCAACTTGGAAATAAGCTGCGTTGAAATTGGAATGCCCTTGAAGTGGTTCACAAGGGACAAGAAGAGACATGGAGATTCACGGAACTGTTATGTTCTGTCAATGTAAAATGCTAGAGCCCGTCGAAGTTGTGAAGCGTTGCGTCTCTATGGGATGCATGAGGCTTCAGGTAGAACATAGGCAGGACTATGGACTCATTAATATGGAAGGAGATGCTGACTTTGGGCACAAATGATGGGTGTAGTCTTAAAGTAACTTTGTCCTTAGGGAATATAGTGTATGGTGGGCTTGCCATGAGGGCCCCTCTATCTCACTAACCCTCCTACCAGAGGTAATGGCCACTAAGAACAGCACCTTCATAGTCAGGAGTGGGAGTGGACAGGTGGCCATAGGTTCGAAGGAAGACCTCACGAGGCAGTCCAGGACTAGATTTAGACAAGAAAGAGTTAGGGTCTTGTGAGGGGGATAGAGGTTGTAGAGGCCTTTGAGGAATCTCTTTGTGATTGGGTGGACAAACACGGATGATCCATCAATGGCTCATGGAATGCCGTGATCGCTGCTAAATACACTTTGACAGACGAGATGGATAGGCCCTAGTTCTTCAGCCAGTATAGGTAGTCTAGAGGAACCACATGGGGATCGACCTGTGTCTGTTGGCACCAGGATGTGAACCATTTCCATTTGTGCAGATAAGTATTTCTAGAGGATGGCCTCCTGCTATGAAGGAGGGTGGTTCTCACTTGTTCTGAACAGTGGGATTCAGCACCTTTGAACCATAGAGAAGGCAGACACGAAGGTGGAGGGTGTGGGGTTGAGGGTGAAGTAGTTTGCGCCGATTTTGAGAAAGACGGTCGTGTCAATATTGTAGTGGGAGAGGTGAAGAGATCTATTACTGGGTAGCCCCACCTGCAGAAGATAGATTCCGTAACCACTGGAGGCAGCTCCTACTTGCGGTCTGTGGAAAAATTGCAACTCAAAGTATCCCCCATGACGTTATCGCCAGGTAGGTGTGAAAACCATTTCATATTTAGCTAGAAGCCATTCTGTATAATAAAAGCTTCACTTTCTTGCTCTTGCACATACGCCAGTGAGTGAACTGACCTTCACCACTGTAAAAAAGCCAGTGAGATGGGCTGTTGAATGTGTTAATGAACTATTTTGAGCTGAAGCTCAAACTCCCTGTTTCTTTCTGTGCTGATGATAATTTCTTTTTGTTTTGATGGAATGCCCTGGCATCAGACTTGTTTGGTTAAGGGATTGATTGTGTTGAGCAGCCTTACTGGGCCCGGCTCTGCTGGGGTCACGTTTGGCTCACTCTGCCTTATTGATCAATAAAGCTGTTTATTAGCCACCAAACCAGAGAGAAGTTTTTGCTTCAACATAGGTATGATGCTTTGAGGATAACCCCATGCTGGATGTACCAATTCCAGAGTGCATAGACTCTGCTCAAAAGGATCGAGAATGAGTGCTGCTCTGCCTACGTAGACATGGTCATTGTATTGTCCATTAGGACACGAACAGTGCAGTTGGTAATGGAGGGAGCAAAGTGTCTACATGCGTTCCTGACCGCTCTGAGCTTGAGAAGGTTGATGTGCAATTGAGCCACGTGCAGTAACCATCTTCCCTGCATAGTGTGGTGGTGCATGTATGTGCCCCATCCTATTAATGAGGCATCCATGGTGATCGGTACCGATGGCTCAGGTTGAAGGAAGGGAACCCCTGCAAGGAGGTTGTGATGGGAGGTCCACCATTTGAGAGAGTCTAGTATGTGTGCCGGGACAATGATTCACTTCCCGAGAGAGTTTGTAGACTGAAGTTAGCCAATGCTACATAGCATGGAAATGGAGATGTGCATACTGAGTTTGTAGACTGAAGTTAGCCAATGCTACATAGCACGGAAATGGAGATGTGCATACTGGATGACATATGTAGTAGCTGCCATATGGCTCAACAAGTGGAGGCAGGTATGGATGGTAGATGACAAGTTCATAGACAGGGTAGACACTAAGTCCCAAAGGGCATTGAATCATTGGTATGATAGGTAGGCCCGGGCTAATATACAATCAAAGTGAACTCCAATGAATTTGATGACTTGAACTGGATTGGGAATTGACTTCTGTTTGTTTATGATGAATCTGAGGCAGTCATTGAGATGGGAAGATGATGACCCCTTGTTGCCGAAGATAGGCTGCCAGTACTTCGAGAAGACATGCGGTTCTGAAGGAAATCCGAAAGGGAGAACTATGCACTGAAAATGATTATCCCCCACCGTGAAATGGAGGTAACGTTTGTGGAAAGGATGTATTGTGACATGAAAGTATGCATCTTGTAGGTAGAGGGCTGCAAAACAGTTCTTGTCCAATACTGGAATTATGGAAGCCAGTGTGACCATTTTGACTACGTTGTTTGCGTAGGAATTTGTTTAGCTTGTAAAGATCCAAAAATCGGCCTCTACGCTTTTCGGTGAGAAAGTAGGTTGAATAGAACCCTCTTCCCTTGTAGAGGTTGGTTTGCCTTCTCCAAATAGGGGCAATGGAGAGGGTATCGATCTCTTGCCTGAGAAGGGTCTCGTGAGAGAGGTCCCTGAAGAGGGATGGGGAAGGAGTGGGAAGTAGGGGGAAGCAACGTGAAGGGTATAGAGTATCCTATGTGGACAATCTCTAGCACCCACCAGTCTGATGTTATGGAGTCCCAATGCTGGAAAAAGGGACGCAATCTGTGGGCAAACAGGTGTTTCTGGCTTATTGTCACTGGATGGTTGGGAAGGTCGGGCAGACCCTTGACCAAGTTTTCAAATTTGCTGTTTAGCCATCTGGGAGCTGGAGGAGCATGCTTGAGGTGGACACTTCCTCTGAGGTCACTGCCTGGATCGATTATACTCATATGGTCTTTGCTGGGACGGTTGTAATAATTGTCCTTATTCCTGTTATAAGGAGTGTCTCACTTTCTCCGGTATGGTGCCGTGTACATGCCAAGGATGCAGAGTATAGCACGAGAGTCCTTACTATTATGCAGGATCTTATCTGTGTTAGCCACGAATACCTTTTGTTTGTCGAAAGGGAGATCCTCCACTTCCGTCTGTAGATCCCTGGGCACCTCTGCAACATGTAACCAGGAGGTTCTTCTCATCACCACAGCTGTGGCAGTCGCTCTAGCCACTGTGTCAGCAACATCTATAGCTGCTAGTAGAGCAGTACAGGCAATAGAGTACTGCTAGAGTCCGTTGTGAATGACTGCCTTGAGAATGGGCCTCCTCGGTCAGGTAGATGTTCCATGAGTTCAGCCAACATGCAATAATTATCGAAATCATGATTAGCGGAGTGGTTTGCTATTTTAAGCTGCAAAGAGGCTGATGAATAGGTCTTCCTACCAAAGATGTCTACTTTCTTGTATTCCTTCTCAGTGTTTGCAGATTTTAGCTGGGGAGCTTTGGAGTGTTGATTCACTGCATCCACCAATGAGTTTGGCTGGGGGTAGGGACAGAAAGTTCAGGTCCTTGGGAGGGACAAAGCACTTCCTGTCTATTTTTTGCAGGTTGGTTGGATGGAGGCAGGTGTCTGCCAAATGTCATCAGATACTTTGATTATTGCCTCTTCCTTGAGAGGACAGATGAATATTCTTTAAGAGACGATGTTGTTTCTCTTTTATCTCCTGGAGCTGAACTTCTTGATTGGTGGCTACCCTTTTAAAAAGCTTTTGGAACTGTTTCAAGTCGTCTGTAGAATTTGAGACTTCGGGTACTACAGCCTCATTGAGAGATGGGGACAGATTATCCTCAAAGGTCTGCTGGGCTTGTGCAACACTGTCCTCATCAGGAATTTGACCCTCTTCCAATTCTTCTGAAGCCGGAAGGGTGTGGATGGAGAGGTTGGTGGAAGCCTCGTTGGTGATGCAGATGTGCTTCTGGAGTGGTGTCTGCCGAGCCCCCGTTAGTCCCATAGTGCCCACAGAGGTCAGTAATATGGAGGGGGATATTGCCAGTCCAGGTACCAATGAAAATAGTGAAGTCTTTCATGGTAGTGTTGAAATTGACAAGATGTGCCTGGAGATGAATGCTGTGAGAAGAAAACACTCCTCTGATCATATTCAGTAACTCAGCGCTTTCATGTGTCAACAGAAGTGTAGTGCAACATGGAAATGGTCATGGAGAACAAGCTGATGGAGGGGGACCCTCCAGTGGAGGGGAAGAATTTGGCTGAGTGCTCTGGGCTTCAGCTGTTAATGGGCAATTGTCTTCTGTTTACACTGAGTA